TACAATGTAACGTGACCTGTTAAAAAGTTAAAATGTTAAAAGTTTGATTGAAATAGCTTTTGATTTCAGTAAATATGCTGCAAACACAACAAATGAAAATTTTCAGTTCTTTACAACCTATAAAGTGTTTTGAAACGTACTGTGCGTAATAATTTGGAACAGTGCATTGGAAGTTATTTATGTTTAAAAAAAATCCTGTTATCATTAGGAGGTTTGTTCAATATGGGCCTCTTTCAATGGCATCTTTCCACACTGCTGTGTCCTCTGTTCTGTCTGACTATGCATTACATAGCATGAGTCACTGCCCCGCCCCCCTCCCTGTACTGACGCAACGAGAACCCAGGAGCCAGCAGGGTTGGACCAGAACCACAAGAGTGCAGAACAGTGTTGGGTGGAGTTTTTCATGAATGGTCAAAATGTGTGAAATTCTGACAAACCCACATGCTGTATAATGATGAAGAATTATTAATTACGGAATTACAAAACAGGCTTTTGTGTTTATGAATTTAAGGCGTTCATAGATGAATATAAAGTGATAGAATAAAATCATCTAGTAATCAAAATCCAGCCCTAGAATTTTTTTTTTTTTTTTTTTCCCCCCACAAGACGTGTCGCTTAGTATTAGTAGCTCAGTGGTAGATTGTCAGATTAAAGGGCATTACAGTAGTGGCCACAGGATTGAACCGATGCCGTAGTCATGGCGGAGTCCATCAGCTCAGAGGTCGGGTGACTTATCTATCAGTAGGGAGCGGCAGGTCAGGCATGCGTCCACTTTGTCGAATTCCGAACTGGCTACAGGGATCAGCATGTGTTCCTTCAGCTTCTCAAACACCTGCAAGAGTAAAATGAGCAGCATTGGTGATGACTTTACTTATGTTATGTGCGTTTGCCCTGTGTTAAATGTCATTAACGCATATGTAAAGTCAAAACTCTTTTTTTATTTTTGAACAGAGCAGCAAAGGGTTAAAATGTATTTAAAAAAAAAAAAGACATCTCTGCAATTTATGAACATTTTTTTATATCCTTTTTCTTGCCAGAGTTGTTTTTTGCATTTTTTTTGCACACTAGTTAGGCCTGAAGACTAGTTAAAACCCCAAAGAATCATTTCTATTTTGAAAGCAGTTACACTGGAGAATAAAATAGTGGTAGTTCAAATTTCTTACGCCAAGCAATATTTGCACAAGTACAAAATTTTAATTAAAAATAAAAATTAAAGATATTTTATGTCACACAAATGCAATATATTCCCCGTGTTTTTGTAAAATGTAAAAGATGAGGCTGTGCCATGTACACAGATACCCAAAATGTCAAACTTGAAGAAAAACGAACAGATGCTTTTACTCCTGCGCTGGACGATGGACTTCGAAGTGTCAGTAACTATACATGGATAGCCTATGGAATATATGCCTTGCTGCCCTCAACGGACCAGGGGGATTTAAATGAACTGCATTCAAAAAAGACAAACAGAGGGTGCACAGGCCTAGTGCATTACCTTTAAAAATTGGTTTATTATATAAAAAGTGATATACTCACAAAGGAATAAAAGGCGCATCATAAGAACCCACAGGGTATCGGCTCTGAGGAAGAGGCATTGCCTTGAAATGCGGCAGCCATTTGGTGGTCTATAGTCCCTGCCAAGATACTTTCCAGGGAGATTGGACCTTGCTGTATTTCTTATGATGTGCCTTTGACTTTTATTCCTTTGTGAGTATATCACTTTTTATATAATAAATCAATTTTTAAAAAGGTAATGCACTAGGCCTGTGCACCCTCTGTCTTTTTGCACCAAACATGTCAAGCTTTAACTTCTTGGCGTCGATGGTGCGCAAATATGTGGGCGCTCAGCAGGTGGATCTTGTTGCGAAGAACGATCTGGATAAAAGTGCACAGATGTTTCCCAAAGGAAATAAGTGAATGGTATATGTCAACTATGATTGGTGGGGAAAAAAACTCACTGCTGCCATGGTAAAAACACATCGGTTTGTGGGAGGTATAAACAGGAGCCAGGCGATGGTACGCAAATATGTGGGCGCTCAGCAGGTGGACCTTGTTGCGAAGAACGATCTGGATAAAAGCGCACAGATGTCTCCCAAAGGAAATAAGTGAATGGTATATGTCAACTATGATTGGTGGGGAAAAAAACTCACTGCTGCCATGGTAAAAACACATTGGTTTGTGGGAGGTATAAACAGGAGCCAGGCGCTGTGTAGTTTTGTGATAAAAATAATACACCTTGTATGGAGGTGTGCCTTTAATAATTCATATGGTAAAAAAATAAATAACCAGCCTGTGGCTTTAGAAAGCCAGGTTCCAAGATGGACGGCCCATCCGCTCAGAGGGAAGCAGTGGAGTAGAATGCCTGTCAGTGCAGTGACCACGTGTACCCGACGTCCCAGCGTCCTGGATGACGTCACCACGATGTGGAGAGACGGAGGGGGAAGAACTCTTGCTGGAGCCGCAGCTTTAGAAGGAAGAGGCCGGTTGCTGGGACAACATGTTTCGCGGCATGTGCTTTATCAAGTCTCACCTTGTTGCGAGAGGCCACATATCTGTGTAACAATGTAAACCAATGTGCGGTCCCTGCATGCTTCCGGCACAGTTACCGGCACCTATTGGAAAGCTCATAATCTCTACTTGCGATTGGGAATTTCCGATCATATGACTGCTCTGACTGCCAATCACGGTGGTCACATGATTTAAAACCCTGCCCACTGGCATCACAAAACCCTTAAAGGGCTGGGAGGCATGGTGCCAAGGCATTAAATTTGCTTACACCTGCAAAATGACAATTCTCTATGGTCCTCTATATTTTCCATAGGCAGGGCTTTAATAGCCCCAATTGGTCATCGGTTTAGCACTAACCCTAGAATTATTTCTCTTGTTCCGGTGTGTCAGTATGTGACATTTCTATTGCAAGCAACGTTTTCATAGGTAGGCTCCCCCAACGAGTGTGCTTGCATTTTTGTGTGCACATACATAAAGACAGGGCAGGCTCAAAGTGTCAATGGGGGGAGGTTTATGAACGTAAATGTAACATTGTTTTTTGACATTTATTGTTTTCATTAAAACAAAAAACATCCCCAATGTGATATATTAATTTTTAAGGCAAGTTCTCTTAACTGAGAAATCAGCGGTCTTTTAGACCCCTGATGTCTCACGTGCCTTCCATTGAAGTTAATAGAATGCAGATCGCGCTCCATTAGCTTCTCTCCTTAAGAGCGTCATCTGAGACCAGAAGTGATGTTTTACATGTCACTTCCAGCTAGGGGAGATCAGCAAACTGGTATTTGCTGGTCTCCCTCTCCTCAAACCAGCAACACTACCCATGTGGGTCCTGAACCCGTAGGTGGGAAAGCAGAGCCCAGGAAGCATGGTAGGGGGTTGCAGCAGGGCTGCACATCGGGAGTCATGGAAAGCAATTGGGTGGCTGTACAACCACCTGATCACTTTCATTACAAAGCCCGCTGCTGGCATGTGGAGTTTACATACATTCTCGGTGCTGCAGATGCCTGGAGTTTATGTAAAACCCCTTGCTGTCACCGCTGTCAGCCTTACAGCAGTAACAGTAAAAGGGTTAAAGACCAAGAAAGGCCACAAAAAACTGCTTACAAGACAAAATTAACACAAAACAAATTCATACTCATCTCTACAATTCATGCACATTTCCTCATGCTCTAATATAAAAGTTGCAAGTACAAAACAAATGCAGTTGATGTACCAGAAACATGCGCAGTTTGCTCAGAATGCTCCTGCCTTCCTCTGTGACACGACAACAGTGTGTAGTTTTGGTTCTGAATTCTAAGCACACGGTGTCAGCCATGGCAATTTTTTTTATGGTGGATTACAAAGCACACCGCCCTCTCCACAGCCCCTCCTCCCTCCTTGTGCACAGGCATGGAGCACAAGTTATCAGCGCACAGGATTTCTGGAAGGATCAAAAGGTATATTTTTGCAATTATCCAATAGATATACCATCGAGACCTTGCTGAAGTACTAATACACACCCTAATAACCAATTACTAGTTAGATCTGACATTTAACATGTGATATGTTAACATTGTTTCCTGATCTAAGGCTGCACTTAGGTTTAGGTTACCTTGACACTTTCTGGGAATTCCTCGGGTGCTCTGTGTAATAGTACATGCCCTTTTCCTGGTATGTTCAAGTAGATGCAATTCGCAGCCTTGTCATCGGGGACAGTCAGCTTATCATAGCGGTGATCACTCATCTGCTGCATAGTCTGCCAAATAATTACAGTAATATCAATTCAGATCTGTTCACATAACAGGTTAACAAACATAACTGCTGAACTGGAAATGCAACCCATTTAACATTACACTTATGCTAAACGTGTTACTAAACCCACAACGGTAAAATCAGTCTGTATATGCAGTAAAGCATGCTTGTTATACTCACTGTGGAACCTAGGGGGTTAATCCTCTGCATTGTGTAAAAATGCTGTTTGATCCTGACTACTCTGATCCTCCCCTTCTTCCAGTGTCATCCTTTTATCTCCTGATAAGACATATCGTGTGGAGTCACTCTGCACATGCTCAGTTTGGTGTGTATTGCTAGAGAGGTTTTTTTCCCCCTCTCTTTTTGAGACTGCATGTGATCAGCACAGGGCCAATCAGCACTGCCCAGACAAGTCTGGGGTTCTGCATCCTCCTAGAGCAAAATTAGAACTCCTCCTACAAGCTTTAACCAGTGCTCAACCAGACACTGATAGGAGTCACAAGACTGTTCTTTTTTTGCCTTCAACTGTGGATATAGGATTATAACTTTTTTTTTTTTAATGGTTGAAATGGATGGACTTATCTTTTTTCAGCCGGACTAACTATGTAACTATGTTCTAACTGCTGATGAGAAAAGGTATTTAGCAATTTATATTTACTAAAATAAAAAATATCCATGTTGTGTGTACTGTGGGAGACCAGATATAGTGAATGCAGGGTCCTGGGAGACCAGATATAGTGAATACAGGGTCCTGGGAGACCAGATATAGTGAATGCAGGGTCTGGAGAGATCAAATATAGTGAATGCAGGGTCCTGGGAGACCAGATATAGTGAGTGCAGGGTCCGAGGAGACCAGATATAGTGAATGCAGCGTCCGAGGAGACCAGATATAGTAAATGCAGGGTCCGGGGAGACCAGATATAGTGATTGCAGGGTCCGGGGAGACCAGATATAGTGAATGCAGGGTCCGGGGAGACCAGATATAGTGAATGCAGGGTCCGGGGAGACCAGATATAGTGAATGCAGGGTCTGGGGAGACCAGATATGGTGAGTGCAGGGTCCTGGGAGACCAGATATGGTGAATGCAGGGTCCGGGGAGACCAGATATAGTGAATGCAGGGTCTAGAGAGACCAAATATAGTGAATGCAGGGTCCGGGGAGACCAGATATAGTAAATGCAGGGTCTGGGGAGACCAGATATAGTGAATGCAGGGTCCTGGGTTTAGTAACACTTTAAGGTACAATTAATCCATATTAATCTGAGTTTTATGCAATATCTCCAAGATCCCTTACAGCCAGATTCAGAAGGATTTTCACAGTGCCCATGAATAGGAGTAGGATGCAGGCTTTTTACAATCATTTTGTGCTATGCAAAGACCCTCAGAGCTACAGCTACACATCTCTGTATGTGATGTTTCCAGGAGACAATGAGGATAGACAGGGGAACGAATATATTTTGGGAATGACCAGGAGGTGTGTATAATTAAAAGTCTCCAAAAGAAAAGAAATAAGGCCTTAGGCATGGTAGCAGTCCCTCCAATCCCTTAAATTGACATTGGCAAGGGATGTCCCCTTTTCATTACCTGTAATGGCATGGCTCTATACAACACCAACAGAGCATCTTCACTTGCCTTTCATTAACCACTTGATCTTCAGAAAGCGCTACCCCCTGCATGACCAGGGCATTTTTTACTATTCAGCACTGTGCCAATTTAACTGGAAATTGCTCAGGCATGCAACACCGTATCCAAATAAAATATCACTTTTTTCCACACAAATAGAGCTTTCGTTTGGTGGTATTTGATTGCCATTCAGTTTTAAATTTGTTTTTATTATATAAAATGAAAAGACCAAATCATTAAAAAAAAATAAATATGTTCTATTTTTTTTATATAAAAAACATATCCAATAAAGAAATAAAAAAAAAATCGAATTTCTTCTGGCACTAACAGACATTATCTGGGAGGGACACTGACTAACAACTGACGTCGTTAGTAACACTAATATAGTGATCAGATATAATAATGTACACTAATAATGACACTGGCTGGGAAAGGGTTAACATCTAGGGGCAATCAAGGGTTAACTGTGTGCCTATCAAATGTAATGTGTGCTGCTTTTACTTGCAGATCTAGCAGCCAAGTTTGTGGTTCTATTTACACAGAGTTCTGTGTGATTGGAAACAGAGAACTGTTGTGATTGGACACAGTCGATCAGCTGGTTTCAGCTGAAATCATTGGCTGAAACCTGACCTGGAAGAAGGCAGGCAACGAACATGTACATTGCTATGCCTGCACTTGCCGCCTGCTTGCAGTACATTTACTGTGAGCAGGTTGGTAAGTGGTTAAGAACATGTTTTAATGTATTCACACATAAATGGTCCCAAAGTTTCTAAAGAAAACACTAGGGCGTTTTTTTGCCACTTGGTTTAACGTCTTCGTAAGCAAAGTGCTCTTTACTGTTAGAGCTGCAAAAAATGTAGAACAGTCCTCCATAAGAACAGCTTCCAGCTGATTGCTTCAAATAAACGCAGGAGGGTTTCTTAAAACAAAATATTGTCTCCTAAAATTTTCAAGGATTGCAAAATGTTAATTAGCTGATCTACATGTTCATTATCTAATTGCCTTTAGGGATTCGGAAGGATTTTTTTCTATTCCTGCAAATTGGGGCATACTTAATAGGAACTTTTTGCCTTTCTCTAGCTAACAATCAAGGGTTTTGTCTACTTCAATATTTATTTATTTTTAAGATCAGCTAAAAATACAGAGAAAAATAAATATTTGTTACATAAATATAACAAAGGTTTATAACTTTATAAAAAAAAAAAAAAAAATAATAATAATAATAATAATAAAAAAAGAAAAAATATATAAAGTGTGAGGGTAAGAGATTGTGGGGTATCTATCATAAGCCAGAAATAATTTTTTTTTTTAAAAAGTCCTGCTTGAGCTGTATTAGTAAGTCAAGAATCCCAAACCTTACGGTAATCATCTACCTCCCGCCCGCCATATAGTAATATGACGGGCGCAAGGTGGCACTCTCGTTCTGGGAGGACATCATATGACGTCCTCCCATTCTCACTGCGCATGCGCGGCTCAGGGAGCACGCAGCACGGCGATAAGAGCCGAAGATGTCGGCTTGGTCATGTGATCAGCTGTGTCCAATCACAGCTGATCACATGTAAACAGGGAAATGCCGGTTATCGGCATTTCTCTCCTCTCGAGCTGTCATGCTGACAGCTCGAGAGGAGAGCCGGTAATCGGCTTTCCGCGGAGGGGATATGTACATTGATCATCAGGGCACTGATGATCAGTGTGCCCTGATGATCAGTGTGGCCCCAGAAGTGCCACCTGTCAGTGTCCATCAGTGCCACATCCATGCCACATATTAGTGCATACCAGTGCACATCAATGCCACATATCAGTGCCCATCTGAGCTGCCTTTCAGTGTCACCCATCAGTGCCAGTCAGTGCCACCTATCAATGCCAATCAGTGCCACCTATCAGTGCCACCTGAATGAATGAGGGAAAGAACAAAGAGGGTGCACAGGCCTGGTGCATTACCATAAAAAATGTTTAATAAGAAATAAAATAGGTGTTGTACTCACAAACGACAATAAAGTCAAGGCACATCATAAAAGAACAGCTGGGTCAACACCGCGCTGAGTGACAGTCCGTAATGGGGAATGTAGTCATCCAATAGGCTGACGCGTTTCGAGGACTTGCCTCTTCCTCAGAGCTCACAAATCTGGGAAACAAGTGCCTGATGCTAAAAAATCCATTAAGGCAATGACACTCAAGCAGAGTAGGCCTTGACAGGAAAAGGGGGAGCCATATCCTTAAGCCTATAGGCTTAAATGGTGAGATGCCTAATCCATCTAGAAATGACAACAACAAGATGCCAACTGTTCCTTATGGGGACCTTCAGGAATGAGGAAGATAAGGTCAGTCAGCTTGTTAAAAGATGTGGCTGAAGGACAAATTTGAACAGCTTGTTGAAGCAATGGAGAGAATGTTTTATTGGGATGTACTGCAGCAGGACAAATAGATTGAAGTACAATACCCTAAACCTCAAGATAACCTTGTCTCTGTGTAGAACGAAAAAATGGTACTCTACAAGAGATTGCCAACTCAGATACTTGCCTTGCTGAGGCAACCTTGTGGGAGAATGTGAACAGAGGAATATCTCACAGGTTCAAAGGGTGGTCTTTGAAGATCCAACACAACCAGGTCCCGCAGAGTCACAAGTGGACATACAGGTGGAGTTATATGAGCAACACCATGTACAAAGGACTTTACCAAGAAATGAGAAGCAAGCGATCTTTCAAAAAGAATGACTAGAGACGAGATTTGTTCTTTGATGGTACTCAAGGCCAAAATGGTGATCCAGACCAGATTGAAAAAAGGTAAGGATAGGTCCTAAGGAGCATTTCCTAAAATAGAAATGCCTTGCCCACACCATTTATAATATGCTTTCCAAGTGCGATGGTAGACCTTGGGAGGTGGATGTCCTAGCCTAGGACACTGGCACAAAACTGAAGCATGAGGGGATGCGTTAAATTATACCTGGCTCACTTCAGCTGGCCACAGATGACTCAGTTTTTCTGATCAGTCATTGGGCTGACTGAACTAAAAAAAAAAAGGGATTTCTCCATCAACACAAGAGAGGTGGATGAACGAGTCTTCCCAGCTGGGACATTGTATTCTGATATCGGGACTCCACTGCTGTCAAATACACTGATCAGTGGCTGAAACTGCTAATCAACAACGATTTGACTTCTGTCAAAAGTGGAAGGCCACACATGCATGGAATTTTGATCCATCTATGGTCAACTTAAGTCTAAATTTACATATACAGCATATTCCTCTTGCTTTCTGAGAAGTGATCCATGGTAGATGCAGCAGGCCCGTACAGCAACGGCTTGTGGGCATACTGAATGTCTCTTTTTTTGGCTGTTTTTTGCCAAATGGGGATTTTGAATGAGATTACCACACTTTGTGCTATTATTATACAGGATTTATACAATTGATTTCAATGGACAAGTTTGACAGGCAGTACTGGCCTTCGAACTCGACAAGGCACATTAAAATAATTGCCAAAACCACAAAGCAAAGCACTGTGGCATATGTACAGTTGCTCTGGAAGCATGTTATCTTTATAGGTGGGTGATCAGAGGGTATTAAAACTGCAGCACATCTGCCCATTTTTATCACCTTCCTTGCCATCTGTGTAAACGAGGCCTAACAGATTTGTCAGTGTTCAATTCTCTTGCAGGCAGCAGTATAACCCTGTTTCAGAATCCTAACCCCATGTCCCTTAAAGCAGAACTACACTGTAAAACCCTTGTCCCCTCCTATAGACTCCTGGGAAGTATGACATCATTTGCCTAGGCTTGGAAACCAGGAAGTAACTGAAGAAATGTAAAAAACAGTTTAAAAATAAGGAACGATAATATACTTTCCTATCCATTTACTAATGTAGCTGCATAAGGACTCAAAATAGTCAATGTTGATTGAGAGAGTAAAGTTCCACATTAATGAATGAGTAGGAAAAGAAGGCTGCTGTGAGACACTGATCTCGAGGAAGCATGAAGAAAGGGAGTTACATAGTTAATCTGGCTGAAAAAAAGACAAAAGTCCATCCATTTCAACCACTAAAAAATAAAAAAAAAAGTTAGAATCCTATACCCACAGTTGATCCAGAGGAAGGCAAAAAAACCCAGTAAAGCGTGATCCAATTTGCTCCTGCAGGGAAAAAAATTCCTTCCTGATCCCCCGAGAGGCAATCGGATATTCCCTGGATCAACTTTTATAAATGTTAGTATCCAGTTATATTCTGTGTATCTAGGAAAGAATACAGACCTTTTTTAAAGCAATCCACTGAGCTGGCCAGAACCAACTCTTCAGGGAGTCTATTCCACATTTTCACAGCTCTCACTGTGAAGAAACCTTTCTGTGTTCAGAGATTAAATTTCTTTTCCTCCAGACGTAAAGAATGCCCCCTTGTCCTCTGTGATGACCTCAGGGTGAATAGCTCTACACCGAGTTCACTATATGAACCACTGATGTATTTATATCTGCATACTTGCTTTAGGTCATTGCTTTAGAAAATATTAAAGCCATTGGATAAGTGTGAGAACCGGACAAGAGGCTGAGATCAGCAACAGTAGCTCGCTTGTTTCAGTACAGTTTTTCTTTAAAGGTCTTAGTGTATATGATGATTTAGTGCAGGGGTGTCAAACTGTAGGACCTCCAGCTGTTGCGAAACTACAAGTCCCATCATGCCTCTGCCTTTGGGAGTTATGCTTGTAACTGTCAGTCTTGCAATGCCTCATGGGACTTGTAGTTTGACAACAGCTGGAGGGCCGCCAGTTTGACACCCGTGATTTAGTGGAAAGAGTACATATTGTACTTTCCATGGCAACTTATAGATAACATTTTCCGTTTATCCCTCTGGCTTGCTCTTGATGGAGTGTATCAGCTCCCCCAGAGGTCTGGAAATGCTGCTTAATGTTTTCCAGGTCTCTACACAAACACTGAAAGATATCAGTAGTTTATCATTCTTCCAGAGGTAGAGTAAGGTTGCAGGCAAATATTTCCATTGCATCCCATGGATTAACCTTAGTATACTATTGTCTATAGGAGTCAGAGAACAGAGGACAAAGAGAAGGCATTCTGGTGTACATATTGTAGGTCTACCAAACATGGGCCTTGGGGTATTTAACCACTTGCCTACCAGGCACTTATACCCCCTTATTTACCAGGCCAATTTTCAGCTTTCAGGCTGCCGCACTTTGATTGACAATTGCGCGGTCATGCAACATTGTACCCATATGAAATTTTGATCATTTTTTTCTCACAAATAGAGCTTTCTTTTGGTGGTATTTAATCGCCACTGGGCACTTTACTTTTTGCGCTATAAATACAAAAATTGCAAAAAATTTGAAAAAAAAAAAAAAAAGTTTCTTTGTTTCTATTATAAAATTTTTCAAACAGGTAATTTTTCTCCTTCACTGATGTGTGTTGATGAGGCAGCACTGATGGGCACTGATAGGCAGCACTGATGGGCACTGATAGGCGGCACTGATAGGCTGATAGGCGGCACTGAAGGGCACTGATAGGCAGCACTAATGAGGTGGCACGGATAGGCGGCACTGATAGGTAGCACTAATGAGGTGTCACGGATAGGCGGCACTAATATGCAGCACTGATAGGCGGCACTGATAGGTGACACTGATGATGGGTACTGATAGACGGCACTGACTGGCATCACTGCTGGGCACTGACTGGCAGCACTGACTGGCACAATTGCTGGGCACTGACTGGTGGCACTGACTGGCAGCACTGCTGGGCTGCACTGGTGGGTGGCACTGGTGGGCAGCACTGGTGGGTGGGCACAGGTAGGTGGCACTGGTGGGCACAGGTGGGTGGGCACAGGTGGGTGGCACTTCTGGGCACAGGTAGGTGGCACTTCTGGGCACAGGCGTGTGACACTGCAGAGTGGCACAGGTGGGGGCACTGCTGGGCACAGGTGGGTGATCTGCTGGGCACAGGTGGGCGGAGCTAGTGGGCGCACTGCTGGGCACAGGTGGGCGGAACTTGTGGGTGGCACTGCTGGGCACCAATCATCAGGGCACTGATCATCAGTGCCCTGATGATCGGTGCCGATCCTCGCTCTGACAACTGCCGGTTCTCGGCAGTACTTTCCTCACGATCTGACAGCGTGAGGAAAGTGCAGCCGAGAACCGGCAATTGCATTTCCCTGTGATCAGCGTGTCATTGGACACCGCTGATCACATGGTAAAAGGCCGCTGTGATTGGTCTTTTACCACATCAAGTGATCAGCTGTGTCCGTAGGACACAGCGATCACGGAGATCGCCGGGTGCGCGCCCAGGAGAGCGCGTTCTGGGAGGACGTCATATGACGTCCACCCAGAACTGGCCGACCGCAGTGTAGCCGTCATTCGGCTATCTGCGGTCGGCAACTAGTTAAAGACCTATTACCCATATTTGTTTAGTGCCAACATATTCCATTGTGCTTTACAGAAGACACAGGATTGCCTACATCAGCCCCTGTGTCAGTGGAGCTTGTAGGCTAACGTGCCTACAATAAACAGCCAAATATAAGGAACCCAAAGTTTCATAACTCCCCCAAACCTACCCATAAATATGCTGTTACACAGTTAATATTTATGTTAATGTACATGAGAATTCATATAGTTTATTTTTTGTACCATTTCCTATGGACATTTCTATAGTTAGTTATGCTGCCATCCAGTGGCCTTATTTGGTAATACACTTTGTTTTATATTGCCTCCCTGAGATCTATGACACAGTTCCTTTGTATATGAAGCTCCTCCCTTCTTCTTCAGTACAGCACTTCCTGTGTCATGGATGCAGCTAACAGACCACATGTAACAGGGACACATGTATTCTGCATAGTACGCTACAGAAATTATCATCTTTTGACCGCATAATACTGGAAACCATTCATTCTGCTGTATCCTGTTTCACAT